GGGATTGCTAGCAAGGCTGCTTTTAACCTCTTAAAGGCCTAATCGCATTCCAGATCCTATATAAAGGGCTTTAAAGGGTTCTAGAGTGCGATAATCGGCTTAGCAATTCGCGAGTATTCTAGGACGAATTGCTGGTAGAATCTAGTGAAGCCTAGAAACGACTTCACACCGGTAACGGTGGTGGGTCGGTCCCAGTTGCGGAGGGCTTCGACCTTGTCGGGATCTACCTCTAGGCCTTTATTGGTGAGGATGTACCCTAAGTATTTCGTCTAAGTAACATAGAATTCGCTCTTCTTAATATCGACTTAGAGTCTAGCTTGTTGTAGCCTTTCTAGCACCTTACGTATATGTTGGATGTGTTCCGCCTCCAACTTAGAGTAGATAAGGATATCGTCTAGGTAGGCTATATAGAAGTTATCTAGGTAATTAATCAGTATATCGTTCATATACCGCTAATAGGTCACTAGACCATTACATAGCCTAAAAGGCAACACCTTAGTCTTATACGTTCTATATCGAGTGCGGAACGTGGTGTACTCCTCGGAGTCGGGATCCATCCGGATCTTGTTGAAAGCCGCGCGTATATTAAGCTTAGTGAAGATCTTGGCCTTATAAGGACGCGCGAGCAGCTCATCGATACGCGGAATCGGATACGCATCCTTGCGTGTGATAGCATTGAGCTTGCGATAATCCACACAGATGCGGAGGTCTCCGTTTAGCTTCTAAACGCAAAGGACTAGGGAGGCGAAAGGACTATAGCTTAGGGAAAAGTATCCTTTCTAGAGGTTATCTATAATAAACGCTTTAGTTACTTTAAGCTCTTTAGTGCTCTACTTATATAGGGGACTAAACTGGTTCGGCAGAGGTTCGGTGAGAACGATCTTATGGTCGTACAGGCGGGGTTCAGGGAGCTGATCNGCGGCGGTCTTGCTGAACACGTCTCGGTACGGATGGTAGACGGATGGGAGTCAGTCCTAAACTAGCTTAGCATTATTAGAATCGTCTTTTAGTTATCTTTCTTTAAGGATCTAATTAATCTCGTAGATACTTATTGTGAAGAACTCGTTTTTCTTACGTTTTATCGTGTAGTGGAAGGCGTTAGCAGAAATAAGTAAGATGCGGGGCGAAGGAGGAGAAGAAGGTGCAGGTTGGACAGGTTTCGGGATAGGGTTGGTTGTNGGCGGTAGAGGACGGGCTTTAGGGAGTCGCAGAAGGCCACGGATTCTTTGAATACTAGCCGTGGTTGGGCTGTTTCTTCTCCGATAGTCGTCCTTCTCCCAGAGAGCGTTGCGCCTCTCGATATCCTTCTCAACCTCAGTGTCGACAGCTAGTTATTTCAACTGCACTAGGATGGGCGGGGCAGGATCATAAGTTGCAGGGTATTTGGCTGGCCATACGATTCGGTTCCGAACCGTATCTAATTGAAGCTGGAAGCGGCGTAGCTACTTAATCCTAATAATACAATCCTATGATTCTAAATCTATAATAATGAATAGGTAGTTATAGATCTTACGGCCATTAATAGAGAGGTGTAACTAGATATATTAATTAACCCTTATTTAAACCTAATCTTGAAATCCTTTGATTGTAATCTTAAAGGGCAGTCTTTAGATAGGAACCTAAAGCGAACTAGAGATTATATGAGTAATTACAGAATTTAAAAATAAGAACTCTTAGGCTCTAGTGTTAACTAGCGATTGCAGGCTAACGCCGTAGCCCTTTAAATAAAGGATAGTAGGAACTCGGAAGTACTTTCCTCTAAACAAGTGTGATAGATC